GCTGAGCTCTTTTGCTCAAAGCTAATGCTCTACCTCTTTGAGCCACAGTTCCACTTGCCATTTTCTGGTGGTTCAATGGAGGTAAGAATCTCATGGACTGTCCTGCCTGGGCTGGCTTTGAACCATGAGCCTCAGATCTCAGTCTCCTGAGTTAGCCATATCACCTGCCTTTTGAAGCAGATGGCAGGGAAAAGAGCCAGGCACTGGGAAAGGGTAGTGAGCTCCTTCCTGACCCACGCACAGTTCCTACCACGGAGGCTGCTGAGCCACTGGGAATCCTACAGCCGCCACCCTGGCTGCAGGCCCGGGCGGACGAGCTGCTCAGGTGGGGCTGGGAGCAGCAGGGCCCAGACCATCCCTCCCGCTGCAGCTCCACCTCACTTCCCAGCCCCAGGCCTGGGCCTCACTTCTCCTAGTCTTCCCCAGCCTTCAGCCCGCTCTGGCCCATCCCCTGCCTCTGCCTCTGTTGGCTTCCTTGCAGGCTCCCCAGAGATACACTCCATGGCCCCCCTTATCCGCTCCCTCCTCCTGGTGGGCCCCTCCGGCATGGGGAAGAAGATGTTGGTTCAGGCTGTGTGTACGGAAACCGGTGCCAACCTGTTCGACCTGTCACCTAACAACCTGACAGGCAAATACCCTGGCAAGAATGGCTCACAGATGATAGTGCACCTGGTCTTCAAGGTCTGGAGCCCTGGGCTCTGAGGCTCTGCCTCCTCCGCTTGTGACATCAGACGGAGTGGGGGGTGGGCCTGTATGGATGGGGGTCACTTGGTGAGATTTCAGAACTGGAACTAGTGAGATCTTCCTACCAACCCCTTCCAGGACCCTGAGCTGGGGAAGGTGGAGGGGGGGAGACTGAGGCTTTCTATGCAACCCCTCCCCCGGAGGATGGTGACTGAAGGTCTGGGACAGTAGGGGGCGTTTGCAGCTACAGCTCCAAGGACAACCCTGAACCTAGGGGCTGACCTAGTAGGGTCATGACCTTTGACCCAGAGGTCGATATCTGATTTGTACCCTCTGACCCCTCCAGGTGGCCCGGCTCCTACAGCCCTCTGTGATCTGGATTGGACAAGCAGAGAAGACTTTCTATAAGAGGATCCCAAAGGAAGAGATAAATGTGAGAGGTGGACAGGCAGCCAGAGCCAGGGGCCGAGGTTTTGAATGAGTCTCTCAAATTGGGCACCAGTAATCTGTAATCCCAGCTACATAGAAGGCTGAGATCTGAGGATTGCAGTTCGAAGCCAGCCGGGGCAGACAAATTTGTGAGATTCTAGGGCTGGGAATATGGCTTAGTGGTAGTGCTTGCCTAACATGCATGATTCCCTAGGTTCAATTCCTCAGTACCACTTAAACAAAAAACCCACAAGTGGCACTGTGGCTCAAGTGGTAGAGTGCTAGCCTTGAGCAAAAAGAAGCTCAGGGACAATGCCAGGCCCCGAGGTTAAGCCCCAGGACTGGCACACGCACACAAATTGTGAGACTCTTAGCTCCAATTAACTACCAAAAAGTGAAAGTAGAGATGTGACTCAAGTGCTACAGAGTCAACCTTGAGCAGAAAAAGCTCAGGAAGGGAACATGAGGCCTTGGGTTCAAGCCCCTGCAAAAAGAGAGAAATAAAAAAAAGGAAGGAAGGAAGCAAGGGAAAAAAGAAAAAGGAAGGAAGCTGGGCACTGGTGGCTCATGTCTGTAATCCTAGCTACTCAGGTGGCTGAAATTTGAGGATCATAGTTCAAAGCCATCCCAGGCAGAAAAGGCTGTGACATTCTTACCTCCAAACTGGAAGTGGAGCGGTGCTCAAAGTGGTAGAACAAAAGAGCTCAGGGACAGTGCCCAGGCACTGAGTTCAAGCCCATGACCAATCCCCACCCCCACCCCCCCAAAAAAAGGAAAGAAGGACTAGCCCCTCAGGCCTCAGTTCCTGTCAAAACAGGATGGACAGCCTCTTCTCACTTCGTCAGGGCCGACAGGAGGCTGAGACTGGGCCATGTGCTCTGTGAACATGGGGGGCCCCTATGGGGCCTGACCCCTTCACCTTCTCCTCTCTGGAGCAGATGGACCCAAAGCGAATAAAGAAGGACCTCACCAAGGCTCTGCGACTGCTGGGCCCAGGGGACCGAGTGCTGCTCATAGGCACGACGGAACAGCCGTACCTGGCAGACATGAAGGGGCTGTGTCGGGCCTACGAGCGGATCCTCTTTATCTCGCGGCCTGATTATGCATCTCGTTATGGTGAGGGCAGAGATGGAGTCCAGGGATCACTGCGCCACTCCCCCCCCCAACAAAAAACCCTCCCAGCCTCTTTCCAGCCCCCATTCAGCCTTGGGCAAGGTGTCACACACATCCCAGTTCTGTGGGTCCAACCTCAGCTTTATGGACACACACTGGCCACTCTCCATCCTTTGGATCTCCATTTTCTGGGGCTCAGCTAGGACCCCTCCCCAGACCTTCCTCGAAGGAGGAGCTGCTCCCCGAGGAACCAAGTTCCTTCACACCCTGGCGGCCAGGGAGGTTGTGGGCCTCTGACCTGACCCTGCTGCCCGCTGCCCTCTCTGCCCTGTTCCTCTCCCTGGCTGCAGTGCTGTGGAAGCACATGATCCAGGCCCAGGGCGTACGGGTCACCCAGAGCCTGGACATCAGTGGGCTGGCCAGGGTGTCCGATGGCTACACACCCAGTCACATCTTACAAGTGATCCAGACTGTGCTGACCGACCGTCGGCTCCTACAAGTGTCTAAACGGCCCCTGGTGGCCTCTGAGTTCGTGGAACAGCTGGGGAAGCTGGACCCAGTGTACAAAGAAGAGGAGGAAACTTTGAAGGTGAGGCTGCCAGGCAGGCAGGGGACTGGGTGGCAGCAGTGCCAGCCACAAGTCAATCCTGTAATGCATGCTTTGCTTCCATGTCAGAAGACAGCCAGCGTAAAGGGACTTGGATTTGAACCGGGAACTGGCAAACAGGCTAAGGGAGGGGCAGGGCGATCTTGCCTGGGCTTGGCAAGAACTAGAAAGGGCCACCTGCCTGTGAGGGGCCTGTGGGACCAGCTCACTACACACATTGGCCCCCTTGAATGGTGCCTATCCCCTGCGCGTCAGGCTGGCCTTAGAAGAGAGGACTGGACGGGAGGGGTGAATGGGGCCGGGTTCCCCAAGAATGGCTGGCCCTGTGGGAAACCCCGGCTCTGACAGGACACATACCTACAGAGGAAAAAAGGATCCCAGAAAGAGGGGAGAAGGTGGAAGAGAGCCAAAGGTAAGGGTTCTTGGGTCCACCCTTCTCCCCTGCCATTCCAGGACTGGTACTTCAAGACTCCGCTGGGCAAAAAGTATATGCAATTTTTAAAGGACCGGAAGGCTGAGGAGGCCAGGCTGGCAAAGGAGAAGAAGAAAAAGGCTGAAGGCTGAGACCTGCGGATGCCCCTGGGGCCTCCAGCCTGAAGGGGAGGGGCAGGGGCATAAACACCAGACGAGCGTCTCATCTGCCATCTGTGCCTCCTCTGTCCCTCTCTGTGCTGCCTGCCTCGTGCACCTTCCTGCACTCCTTGCTCCTCTCACTCAAACGTCCCCATCCCCCCACACGCCATCTCCTTGGCACTTCCTTTGTAGGCGCTCCACCTCACTTGCTTCTCCACAAACTAAAAGAGGGAAAATAGGAGAGGAAGGACCGGAGAGGGAAAAGAGAGGAGAGACAGTAAGGGTAAGAGAAAGGCAAGTCTACAAATAACAGGCCCTACGTGGAACCCCATGGTGCTGGCTCCCGGTGTGACCCGGACCATACTCTCCTGGCCCTATGCCTCACTTTCCTTACTTGTAAGGAAAGCTGAGTGATCTCTAAGACCCTTCCTGTTTGGGATCGGCTTCTGCTAGCTTTTGTATCTGCAGAGGCAGATGGTCACACCTGTAATCCTAGATCTGGGCTGGGAAGGCGGCTCAGTGGCAGAGTGCTTGCCTTGCATGTATGAGGCCCTGGGTTCGATTCCTCAGCACCACATAAGCTGTGGTAGAGCGTTAGCCTTGAGCTGAAGAGCTGAGGGACAGTGCCCAGGCCCAGAGTTCAGGCCCCATGACCAACAAAACAACAACAACAAAACAACCCCAAAGCATATGCTTTCTTCTCATTTTGCCTTCTATTGCCCTTGAACAAAAGCAGCTTCCTCCTTCTGATGGCCCTCACTGGACAGGGCTTCCTCCTCCCCCCTTCTCCAGCTTAGACCCCGGCCTGCCATGGAGGGCAGGCGTGGCTCCTGCAGCCTGTGGGTAGAACCCTGCTCCCTTTGGCAGACATCTGTTTTCCAGAAAACCCCTAAGGACAGTTTGCAATGGGTGCTGGGCCCCGGCTCACTGCCTGGTTCTCAGTACTGAGTCAGAGAAAGTGCAGGACTCAAGAACAGACTTTTTTTTTTTTTTTTGCCAGTCCTGGGGCTTGAACTCAGGGCCTGGGCACTGTCCCTGAGCCTCTCTGTGCTCAAGGCTATCGCTCTACCACCTGAGCCACAGCGCCACTTCCAGCTTTTTCTGTTGATGTGGTGCTAAGGTATTGAACCCGGGGCTTCATGCATGTGAGGCCAGCACTCTACCACTGAGCCACCTTCCCAGCCGTCCTGTGTGTCCTTGGGAAAATCCCATCCCTTCTCTGGGTTATGATGGCCTGTGTCTGACCTGAGGACCAGAGACAGTGTCCACTTGGACATCACCTGGCCTGGAAGTGAAGCATGGGGTTGCGTGGCTCTCCGTGCTTCTACCTGGCCTTCTCCTGGCCTGGGAGTTTCATATGGGAACTGATTGCTGCCAGGAGTTATTTAAAGCTTCCCCTGCCCCTCCCAGACTGGCCTCTCCTGGCCAGCTCTGCCTGCCCAGTCCACCTGCAGCCTTGCCGGCTGCGTTGGCTGTCTCCCAGAAGCCGCCATGCCTAAGGGAAGGAATGTAGGGAAGGCCGTGGCCCATGGGGGCCACCCTCTGGGGTGCCTTCCTTCAGTCTCTGCCTGCCACGTCTGGGGGGTCCAGTCCTGCCCAGCCCAGGCAGCCTGTCGGTCTCCGCCGCTGCCGTGCCGCGACATGGCGCTGCAGAATGCCCTCTACACGGGGGACCTGGCCAGGCTGCAGGAGCTCTTCCCGCCTCATAGCACAGCTGACCTGTTGCTGGAGAGCCGTACAGCAGAGCCTCGCTGGAGCAGCCACCAGAGGGGTGAGGGGCAGCATGTGTGTGTGTGGGAAACTGAGGCAGAGGTGACTGTCCCAGGCTGAGTTCCCAAGGCTTGAAAAAAGAAGCCCCTGGCTGATGCTTCCCATACCCTGAACACTTGGACAGCGTTCATCTTGGCCTAGGGAAGAAGTCATGTGGAGCCCAGAATAGCTTCTGCTGGGCCGCGTGGCCAGCTCAGGGACGCCAGGCCCTCGGAGTGTCCCTTCTCCTGCCCCTCTGCCTGTGGCTTCCGCGCCCTCCCCCCTCCACCCGTGCTCATGAGCGGGTACCCAGAAGAGTGCGGGGGGCAGGGGGAGCCCCATGGCAACAGACACAGCCTCTGTGCCAGGCTGGTGGAGTCCAGCGGAGGGTCTGAGGAGCCCCCCGGGTCGGGCCCGGGCCCCATTGCCGTGGGCACAGCCGCAGGCCCCGCCCTCGCCCTCTGGCAGGCGGTGCTGGCAGGGGACGTGGGCTCCGTCGCCCGCATCCTCGCCGACTCCAGTGCTGGCCTGGCTCCCGACTCTGTCTTTGACACCAGCGATCCAGAGCGATGGAGGGACTTCCGATTCAACATCCGAGCTCTGAGTATGGGCCCGGGGTGCAGGGGGTGGGAGAGGGGCGGCTGCAGACTCAGCTCTGAGTCCTTGTCCTCCCTCCCCCACTCGGGCAGCTGCAGGCCATCCCTTGAGATCTGAGGTCCTGTCCCTCTTTCCCCCAGGGCTCTGGTCTCTGACCTACGAGGAGGAACTGACCACCCCGCTTCATGTGGCGGCCAGCCGAGGCTACACCGAAGTCCTGCGACTGCTGCTCAGACGGAGGGCCAGACCGGACAGCGCCCCCGGGGGCCGCACCGCCCTGCACGAGGCCTGCGCTGCGGGCCACCCGGCCTGTGTCCATGTGCTGCTGGTGGCCGGAGCAGACCCCAATGCGCCAGACCAGGAAGGAAAACGCCCCTTGCATCTCTGCCGAGGGGCTGGCACCCTTGAGTAAGTACCTCGGACCCTAGGGACAGTCAGGGGCTCAGGGAGGATGTGGGCAGGTTGGGACATAGTTATTCCCCAAATGATTCCCCAACCATTGATCCGTGTGAATTCTGCAATGGCCTGGATTTAGGATGGTAGAGGGCTGTTCCAGGGGCCTAGCTTCTTTTCTTTTCTTTTCTTTTTTGCGGTCGTGGGGCCTGAACTCTGGGCCTGGGCGCTGTCCCTCAGCTCTTCAGCTCAAGGCTAGCGCTTTACCACTTGAGCCACAGCACCATTTCCAGCCTTTTCTGTGTATATGGTACTGGGGAATCGAACCCCGGGCTTCAGGCATGCAAGGCAAGCACTCTATCGCTGAGCCACCTTCCCAGCCAAGGGGCCCAGCTTTGTAGCCTGCCCTGGGAAAATTGTACCAACCCTTTGGAGAAGCCATATTACAGTGAATATTGGTTTGGTGGTGTTTTGGGGAGTGCTGGGATTTGAACCCGGGCCCTTACACTTGTTAGACAGTTTGCTCTACCACGAAGCCATGCCTAATCCATATTTTTCCCCTTTTTGCTTTTATTTTTCAAATAAGGTTATACTTTTTGCCTGCACTGGCCTAGACCTTGATCCTCCTTCATTTGCTAGGCAGGTGCTCTACCAGCTAAGCCATGCCCCCTTCCCCCTTCCCTTTCACCTTCCCTTCCCGTCTCTTTCCTTTCCTTCCCTTTTGCTTTTCCTTTCCTTTCCTTTTCTTTTTCTTTCCTTTCCTTTTCTTCCTTTGTCCAGAGGCTTGAACAAAAGACCTGGGTGCTCTTCCTGAGAGAGTGGTAGATTAACATTCTTCCACTTGAGCCAGAGGCCCATTTTTGTATGTGGAGGAAGTAGTTTACTGGAGATAAGAGTCTCACAGACTTTCCTGCCGTGGCTGGCTTCAAACTACGGGCCTTAGATCTCAATCTCCTGAGGAGCTGCGATCCTAGGCGGGAAAGCACCTGGCTCCATCAGATCTCTTTGTTTTTAAGCCAGCTCTGACAAGTTTTATTGAAGAAAAATTATGCACTGTTTACTTTTCTCCAGTTTGTTCTGGCATGTTTCTAGTGACGTGGGAATCCCCTGGATCGGTGATAGCCAGTGTGCACTCCGTAGCTATTCCCACGTGCTGTGCCCAGTTCAGTGTTGCTGATGGACCCCCATTTTGGCCAGCATAGTACAGTATTCTATTTCAAATTTCCTCAAGGCTGGGCAGGTGTTGGCGAGGCTGACCAATTGCCCTTCGCCCTGCATCTTCGGAGCGTTTGAACCCCAGCGTGTACTTTTCACTTTTTTTGGGGGGGGGTCTAGTTGTGAAGCCTGAACTCTGGGCCTGGGCACTGTCCCTCAGCTCTTCAGCTCAAGGCCAGCACTCTACCACTTGAGCCACAACGCCATTTCCAGCTTTTTTCTTTTTGTTTATGTGGTGCTGAGGAATCGAATCCAGGGCCTCATGCATTCAAGGCAAGTGCTCTACCACTGAGCCACCTTCCCAGCCCTACCTTTCACTTTTCATAACAAGTTGGAGCCTAGAGTTGATCCACTCCAGAGGCTTTTCTCTTTTTTTGTCTTATTGGTGGCCACCAACTTCCTGCCCACTAGCGAGAAAGGCCATCAGATTCCTTAAGCCCTCGCACCTGTAACCCTAGCTACTCCGAAGGCTGGGATGTAAAGATCATGGATGGAAAAGCCATGAGACGCCTATCTCCATGTAATCAGCAAACAGCAGAAGTGGAGGTGTGGCTCAAGGTAGAGCACTAACTTTAAGTGATAAAACTCCTGAGTGGGAGCCGGAAGCCTCAAGTTCAACCCCAGTACATGCACAAAAAAAATAAAAGTTGGGGATGGGAAAGTGGCTCAGGGGTAGAGTGCTTGCCTTGCATGCATGAGGCCCTGGGTTCAATTCCTCAGCACCACATAAGCAGAAAAAGCTGGAAGTAGTGCTGTGGCTCAAAGTGGTAGAGCGCTAGCCTTGAGCTGAAGAGCTGAGGGACAGCGCCCAGGCCCAGAGTTCAGGTCCCATGACCAGCAAAAATAAATAAAAAATAAAATTAAAAGTCATAAGCAAGGAAGCTGAGCAAGCGGGAGGCCCTGGGTTCAAACTCAAATACCACTGAAACAATGATAAGGAAATAATTTTCTATTTTGAGCACCAGTGTGCACGTAGCTTTTACAGATGTCCACTGAGACTGGCCGGGCTGCGGCACTCACCCACGTGGCCAGAGGCCACCATCTTGGACAGTACCATGGCTCCACATAAGACCACATCTTTAGCTTGGGCCATTGCTCAGCCCAGGCCTTTCTTGAGTAAAGATATGTGTATTTAAGCATCTTGTAGAACATTCCAAACATACAGAACGGTAGCTTGGATATAAAATGAGCCCTTTGACCCATCCAAACCGCCCACTTCACTCCCCAAAGGCAGGCCTGTTGAGTTCAAATGATGATGGCTCAGATGCGATCTCATACGTGCTCACAACCACCATCAGGCCCAGCTATTTTTTATTGTTGTTGTTGTCAGTTGTGGGGCTTGAACTCAGGGCTTAGGCATTGTCCCTGAGCTCTTCAGCCAAAGGCAAGCTCTCTACCACTTGACCCACAGCGCCACTTCCGGTTTTCTGGTGGTTAATTGGAGATAAGAGTCTCTTTGGGCGTTCCTGCCCAGGCTGGCTTTGAACCTCGATCCTCAGATCTTACCTCCTGAGTGGCTGAGATGACAGGTGTGAGCCCAGCTTTTATTAATTACTCTCATTTGACATATAAAGCACCCGGCTCACAGAGGAGCCTCAAATTTTGGCAGATTCCTAACTCCTGTCTGTCCCCAGGGCCATCTTGGAGCCAGTCTATGGGTTAATTTTGGTTTTGTCCTTCCTTGTCCTATGGTCCCATCTGCATTTGTGCCTGCTGGTAAGTTCCCCACAAAACTCGGCACACAAAACTTTCAAACTACCCAGCTGCCCCTGACCCCAAATGCCAGCTCCATACGCCCTTGGAGCCTGGGAGCTGTGTGATGTGAGCGTTCTCAGCCACGCTGCAGCAGTAGGGGCAGATGGTCCTCTCCAGCTGTGTCATAACCATGTGACTTTAACCCTATGGGGAGTCAGTGGATGGTCCCTGCAGGAAGTGTGAGTGTGCACGTGTGCACGCGCATGCACTAGTAGTAGGACTTGAATTAAGGGTCTCATCTTCTTCTGGCTTAGCTTTTTCACTCAAAGCAGTTAGTTGCTCTACCATTTGAGCCAGAACTGCACTTTTGGCTTTTTGCTGGTAATTGGAGATAAGAGTCTCTTGGACTAGTTTCCTGAGCTAGCTTCCTACCTCAGTCCTCAGATCTCAGCCTCCGGAGTAGCTAGGATTATAGGTGTGAGCCACTGGCACCTAGCTAGTAGGTGGGTATTACAAAGGCCATGGGGTGGGGGGCAACATGGTAGCAGATATCTATAGTCCCAACACTCTGGAGATTGAGGCAAGAGGATCCCTTGAGTCTAAGAGTTCAAGACCAGCCTAGGCAACACAGTAATATCCTATCTCTAAAAAAAGAAAAGAGGAAAAAGGACCACCGATCTTGCAGAATGTGGCTTAGAGGGCAGGGGCTGGCAGGAAAGGTAGGCGAGGGCTGCAAAGCAGAGGCCACCCAGAGCCCCCTGCCACGTCTGCTGTGTTCAGGAGTGCCGGGGTTCATGCCCACTCTCCTTCCACCACCGTCTCCCCTGTCTAGGTGTGTGGAGCTGCTCTTGAAGTTTGGGGCGCGAGTGGATGGGCAGACTGAGGATGAAAAAGAGACAGCCCTGCACGTGGCCGCACGGCTTGGCCATGTGGAAATGGCGGCCCTGCTTCTGAGACGGGGTGCGTGTCCCGATGCCCGCAATGCCGAGGGCTGGACGCCGCTGCTGGCTGCCTGCGACGCCCGTGGCCAGTCCCCCGCCGAGGCCGAGGCCAGCGCCTCGCGCTGCTTCCAGCTGTGCAGCTTGCTGCTCTCCGCTGGCGCCGACGCAGATGCCGCCGACCAGGACAAGCTGAGGCCCCTGCACCTGGCCTGCCGCCGGGGCCATTCGGCCGTTGTGGAGTTGCTCCTGTCCCACGGTGTCAGTGCCAACGCCATGGACTATGGAGGACACACCGCCCTGCACTGTGCCCTGCAGGGCCCAGCGGCCGCCCTGGCCCAGAGCCCTGAGCACATGGTGCGAGCTCTGCTCAACCACGGCGCCGTCAGGGTGTGGCCCGGGGCCCTCCCCAAGGTACGGCACTGGGGGGGGGAGTGCGCAGGCAGGGCCGCTAGGGTGAGGGGATAGGCCTCGGCCGGTGCTTGGGCTCTCTCAGCAACGCAGTCCTGGGACACGTGGTTACATAGACTAGTTCTTCTTGTTTTTCTATAGTCAGTGAGCAAAAGCCAGATAGAGGTAAAGAATGGGACACGGTGGCCCACACCTGTCATCCTGGCTACTCTGGAGGCTGACCTCTGAGGACTGGAGTTAGAAGCCAGCTTGGGCAGGAAAATCCAGGAGACTCTTATCTCCAATTAATTACCATCTGATTGTGGCTGTGGCTCAAGTGTTAGATTGCTAGCTAGCCTTGAGCAAAAAAACTCAAGGGAAGCACCCAGGCCCTGAGTTCAAGCCGCAGGAACTGGCACAGGAAAAAGAAGAAAAAGCATTTAAGAAGCCAGCACCTGTAGCTCATGCCTGTAATCCTAGCTGCTCAGGAGGCTAAGATCTGAGGATCGCGGTTCAAAACCAGCCCGGGCAGGAAAGTCTGAGAGACTCCTATCTCCAATAAACCACTCAGAAAACCAGAAATGGTGCTGTGGCTCAAGTGGTAGAGCACTCGCCTTGAGCCAAAGAGCTGAGGGACAGCACTCAGGCCCAGAGTCCAAGCCCCATGATGACCCCCCCCAAAAAAAGCATTTGAGGAGCTGTCTAGCAGTGGGGTCAGCTGAGCGGGGGCCACGGGGGGACAGGTGCAAGGCTCCCCAGCGACAGAAGGTGAGCCTGCTCCCCCATGCTCGGGGGTCCTTAAGTGGTGGTGGGAGAGCAGCCCCGCTTTCTGAGCGCTGGTGGGTGCTTCCCCTCACAGCGCGGGCCCTGCCCGGCCTGGGAAAACACCTTCCATGGGTATTTTTCAGATTCGATCTAAAATTTCCCTAAAGCGAGTTAAACATGAGGAGCTGGGCTAGGGTGCTCTGTGGCACGGGTGGGCCTAGAAGGGGCATCATGGAGGCCTCTGGGTGGCAGGGGATGCGGGGAAGAGGGGTCTCTTCTCAGAGGGGAGGGATCAGCATGGCTTGGCCTTCTGGGAGTGGGCAGGTGGTGACAGGTCCCCTCCGGCCCAGCCTTGCCCCCTCCAGGGCCCACCCCGCTGTCTTTGTCCTCCCCTTTGCCCACAAAACTAGAAGCATCTGTCTAGATTCCTAAGCAAGACCAAATAATTAAACAGCCCGAGAGTTCGGCAGATTGGTCTCCCCTTTGGGAAAATACAAGAAAATCAACAATTAACACTAATTAATCTCCTATTAACACCAGATAATTAGGAGACGAGCAATTCCCTGTAATCTGACGGCAGCTCTGACAGCTAATGATTTCCCCACCAGGCGGGGCAGAGGAGGACTTGGCAAAGCAAATGACACCAGCCCTCCAGCCCTGCCCCGCCCCGCCGTCCGCCCCGCCCCGCCGCCTGCCGAGCAGAGGGCCCAGTTGTCCCCACTCCACAATCTGCAGCCCCTCCCGTCGGGGCTGGCGTCCCTGCTGTCCCTGCAGGGAGGGCTCTGAGCCCCCGTCGGTGGGACAGTCAGTTCTGCCAGGCACCAGGAGCCACCAGACTGCATCCGGCACTCAAGAGACCTGGAGAGCCACAATTGGCTCACACCTGGAGGCTGAGATCTGAGGATCAAAGTTCAAAGCCAGCCCAGGCAGGAAAGTCTATGAGACTTATCTCCAATTAACCAGCAAAAAGCTAGAAATGGAGCTATGGCTCAATTGGTAGAGCACCAGCCTTGAGCCAAATAACTGAGGGACGGTGGACCAGATTCTCAGTTCAAGCCCCTGTACTAGCAAGGGCGGGGGGAGGAGGGGGAGAGAGAGCATGCAAGAGCTGGATTGAGGTCTGGCTTTGACTCATGTGACTGTAAACAAGTCACTGGAACGCTTTGTACCCCATGTTCCCCACAGCTAGGGGCCCCTGGGTGTCCCTTCCTCCTCTGGCTTCCTCCGAGGGGGTGTGGTGGTGGGCACGGGGCCTGTCTCCTCACCAGAGAACTAACAGCTTCCTGACTCTAGTGCTGGTGTGAGAAATGGAGGCGACACGTGCGGCGCATAATTACACCCTGTCCAGGGTGTAACCTACACACTGAGCTCTAAACCTGTTGCAAGTCTTTGGAAGGAGTGTGCACAGGTGTTTGCTAAGCTGTTAAGCATCCTCTCCGTCTAAGAGCTCATTAGACATGAAAGAGGGCAAGGTGGAGTGGAAGAGCTCCAGTGTGGGCTGCTGTAGCTCCAGGGCAGGATGGAGTAGCCAGGAGGGCTTCCTGGAAGAGGTGAGACAGGATCAACCGTTCTTGGGTAGAGGGGAGGAAGCAGCAGGCAGCATGCTGGGTAAACCCGGATTCTTTCTGAGCTCTGGGGGGAGTGAGGCAGAGGCCTGCTCCAGGCAGTGACACTGCTAAGAGGCAGGGTGAGGAGAAGAGGGACCATGCATGGAAAAATGCTTGTTCCTGGCCCCAAACAAGGGCTGGCCTTCCACCTGTTCACACTACCCACTGGCATGCCCACGGAGGGAGAGATTTCCAAGCTTCTAATGTGTGCAATGGTTGGGGGGAGGGAATACGTGTAGGGGTGTTACTGTGGAGCCCAGACTTAGCTGCTGTGAGACCCATACAAATGCCTGTCAAGATCCAATAAGAGATGGGGTAGAGCCTGGCACCAGTGGCTCTGTTTCTCTTACTTGCAAATTGGAGATACTAACAGTTCATACTGCCTAGAAATGCGGATTGAGTTCATGCATGCCAGGCGCCTGAGGGCTGTAATCCTAACTACTCAGGACACTGAGATCTGAGGATGTGGTTCGAAGCTAGCGCCGGCAGAAAAGTCCCCATGAGACTCTTATCTCCAATAAACCACTCAAAAACTAAGTGTTGCTGTGGCTCAAGTGGTAGAACACTAGCCCTGAGCAAAGAGGCTCAAGGACAGCATCTGGGCCCTGAGTTCAAGCCTCCAACCAACTCACACACAGACACACACAAAGAACTCATGCATGAAAAATGCTAAGTATCTGCCCTGAGCTGCACAATGTAGAAACGTTAGCGTGTGTGAGTTTCCTGCGGTGGGTGTGTTAAGGAACTACAAGCTGAAAGGTGTAAACCCACAGCACCAGATTCCCTCCCACTTCTGGGGGCTGTACTTCTAAAGGACACTGTTGGCAAGTTTGGTGTCTTTCGGGAACAGGGAGGGAGGTGCAGTGCCGGACACTTTCAGCTTCTAGTGCCTACCTGGCCTGCTTTGGCTTGTGGCACATCACTCCAGTGCTGTCCCTGAACCTTCTCTGTGTGTATCTGTGCCTGATTTCTAAAGAACATCTGTCTGGTTGGATTAGGACTTGATGTCTTCACTTTGACTTGATTTCCCCTGCAGAGACCCAGTGATCAGACCAGCATAAGTATAGTAGTGAAGGCACGATCTCTTCCCCACTGCACCGGTCCTATGGGTTGGTGGGTACCAGACATGAGGACGTCAGTGTATTGGGCAGGGAAACACAATTGAGCCCCCCACGGGCTGCCGGGCACCCAGCCCCTCTCCTTCCTGCTGTCGGTGCCTCCTGCAGGTGCTGGAGCGCTGGTGCTCTTCCCCACGGACCATCGAGGTGCTGATGAATACCTACAGCTCGGTGCAGCTGCCCCGGGAGGCGCTGGGGCTGATTCCTCCTGAAACGCTGCAGGTCAGAGCTAGCTCCGCTCTTGGAGACCACACCCCTTCCTGGGCAGCCCGCCCCCCCAGAGGCTTGCTCACACCCCAGAACTCCTGCATGTTCCTGGGCAGCGCCCAGTGCCCTCCAGCCTGCCCCGGTGCAGGGGCACCGCTGGGCCCAGGCTGCCCTCACCTGGAGCCCTTCTGCCCCCCAGGAGCACCGGCGTTTCTACTCCTCCCTCTTTGCCTTGGCCAGGCAGCCGCGCTCCCTGCAGCACCTGAGCCGCTGCGCGCTGCGCTCGCACCTGGAGGGCTGCCTGCCTCATGCCCTGCCTCACCTTCCCCTGCCGCCCCGCCTGCTCCGCTACCTGCAGCTGGAGTTTGAGGACGTACTCTACTAGGTGAGCCCTGGGTGTGCGGGGGGGGGCGGGGAGGGGTCGGGTGGGAGGCAGGAGGGCTGGGGGAGGGCCCTGAGCTACACTTCTGCCCCCCAAGCCAAAAAGCCTCTGGTTCCCTTCCAGGGATGCGATGTTGCCTGCAAGCAGACACCCCGGCCTGCAGGGGGCGCTGCAGAGGTCCTGTCAGCCGGAGGTCCAGCGGGAGGGCAGCGGTGGATGCTGTCTTGAGAGGGGGACACATCAGCAGCCAGAGGGTGTGTGTGTGTGTGTGTGAGAGAGAGAGAGACAGACAGACAGACAGAGACAGAGACAGAGTCCCCTCCCTGTGAATTAAAGCTCTCGAGGCTGTGTGGCTTGGTGCTGTCTCCAGTCGCCTTCCTCAGGCCGATGCTCTGTCCTGGCCGGGGAGTCAGGACAGGCTCACATCCAGCTGAGAGCACTGACGGCAGAGGCCCGGGGGGGCGCGGGGGGCGGCTCCGGGCAGAAGTAGACGG